TGGTCTTCCATTTTTTAAGTTTCTTTTTTCTTTTTTTTTTCTGTCTGTTTTTTTTTCTTATTTCTTCTTTAGGCTTTTATAATATCCACTGCGGAACAGATTTAGAATTGTTTCACCAAAGTTTTTAGTTACACACACAAATATACACAGAAATACATACAGACACACTCACACAGATATACCTTATATACGCGTAGGCATTAACAAAGCTGAGGGTCACCGGACATCCCACAAATACCTTGCAATTAAATAATCCACCTATACCTGTTGCTACCGGAAATTGTTGATTTGCAAATTATGTTTGTCGCTTCTGAACAAAAGAAAAGTAAAATTTGCAAGCGCAAAAAAACCAAAATGATTCGACTTCAATGTCAAATTTTCGCATGTTAGAATAGGAAATCTTACTAAAAGTTGCAAAGAAAAAAAAATTTGGAAAAAAATACGTGCTTTTAAAAAATCGGTAATTGCATTTCGTTGCAGTGACTTCTTGATTTGTTATAATTTAGGTTATCATCACCAACATACTGAAAAAAAATAAACAAATACATTATTAAAGGCTGCTTTCTCTAAAATCAGTTTGTTGTTGTCATCTAGAAATAAATGCTGCGAACAACGACTGTAAGAGTCAAAAAAGAATTGGTAACACTCAACATTGTTAATAAGCAAAATTGTCATAGAATGCTTCTCTAATATACCACTCATTTCATATCTTTCACATTTTTGAACCACAAGTTATGCGAGTATTTCTACACCATATTTTGCATAATTTGATCCAATTTCCTATAATAAGCGTCTGCATCGAAATGACTTCTTATAACGGAGATACCGCTGTATCAAAGTGCAGCCGAAGCAACAATAAGCCTCAAAAGCCGTTATTAAAAACAAAATTTGCGAGCTGCGGGTGTTAAGAACCAAAGACCTTTTGATACAACAGTTGGCCAAACTTTTATTGAAACGGCAATGGATTTTCAGTTTCAAATTTTGAAGCGTTCAATTGGCAAAACATAATTCTGCTAAAAAATGTTTCCCAATTTACAAAATTTAAACAAATTTTTTCCTTCCTCTTAGCAGTTTGGATACAATCAGTGCCTGCACTTTTGGTAAGCAAGAATTTTGACCTTTCTATAGCTCTACAAAACGTCCACGAAATTCGTTGAAACTAAACAATAAAATGTGAATTCCAGTTATAAAAAATTACCGAGCAGAGGAACAAGCGAAAGATTAAACGGTCGGCAATTTAAAAAAAAGCAATATGAATTAACAGTGACCACTGTTGAATAGACAAACTATTTATTTCTTTCAACTCGTTTATTATCGTTATTATTATTATAATATTACTGCTGCCCTTAGCTGTGGCAATCACTTGGTCGGCATTGATGCAACTGTGGGAAAACATTTATTCGACTACCTACGTACGTATTTTTTATCCATTTTATTATGTCTATAAAAACACATAGAAACACAATTTCCACCCAATTAGGAAGCTCTTCAATACTCAAACGTTATCGTTTTGGTCAACAAAAATTCGTTCAAAGCTTCAGCACCTAAAAAAACGCATTTTTAACTATTTCAAAATACAGAAAAATTTCTGTTGAAAAAGATTTAATATTGAGTGTTATTTTACTAATATCCGATAAAAAACCTTAGACTCTCCCCTTCGCTGTATCCATCATTGAATTTTTTCCTACAACTTAAATTTTACACTATTTTTTACCAACTATTTTTACAGGATAGTACAGTAATTGAGAAGCTGCACACGTCATCTTGATTAGATTTATTTTTGAAAACTAATAAAATTTTAAGCAGTTTATTTCACGCTTCGCACAACTTTACTTTCACAGAATAATGTTAAACACTTAAGTAGCAACTTTTAAGACTAAATGAAAAAACATTGTAAAATACTATATTCTCACCAAGATCTTTTCCGAAACCAGACTGTTTGTATCCGCCGAACGGTGCAGCTACATCAGTTTTTTGATACGTGTTGATAAAAACTGTACCGGCCCGAAGTTTCCGTGACACATAAAGTACCTAAAAAATTACAACAAAGTTCGGACGACATTCTATAGCTTATTAAGTCAGACTTACCTTACTTAAAATTCAAATTAATCTTTTAGAACTAGGAATTCTTAGATAAAAGTCAATAAGACTGAAGTAAGTTTTAATAATAAACTTTCTAAAGTACAGTTCAAAAAATTATTCATAAAAACTTGGTAAAGTTTTGTTAATGCTAACTTCAAAAGATACTTATTAAAAAACAAATTGTAGACTGCAAAAACTTTTTACCTTAGAAACATCTCTTGAAAAAACACCAGCCGCTAAACCATATTCAGTAGCATTTGCTCGTTTGATAACGCCATCGATGTCACTGAAAAAGTAAATGAAGTTGCTATTTAAAAACAACTGTTTCCAGACGGAACTAACAACGAGCAATCAACTGAGCTGGAACTTTACATTAACTCGTTCTCCGAATTAAAGTTCCCAAAAAAGCATAATACAGTGAAATTGCAAGATGTATAAATTTCACCTATTGGCAAATTTACTAATAACCATAACTGGACCAAAAGACTCTTCGATGGCAGCAGGGTTATCGTCGAGTACATCAATCAGAATTGTTGGTTCAAAAAATAATCCTTCACGTTTGACGCGTTTTCCTCCATAAGCCACTTTAGCACCCTCTGCAACGGCATTGTCCACATATTCGAGCAGCTTGTCTAAGTGAGCTCTAAAAAAGTACATCACACGATTTATACAAGTTCTACTAACTACTTTTTAGCACTCGTAAAGCAACACTTTTTTTGCAGCATCATATTTTTCTATATGTCTTGAAACATTCAAAATATCATATGTTTTCATCGACTTTTCCACGGTACAAAACCAATAAACAAGCAGAAAACTGGTTTACTTTTTAGCTAACTTATTTAAGTACATCTTAAACTCGTACAGAATTTTATAAACACTTCGCTGAGAAATTTTTTTGAAGTAGAAAAAAATTACTTATGATTTTGTGGTCCATGTGACGTCGATCTATCAAACGGATCTCCGATTACAAGCCGTTTTGTTTCTTCAACTAATCTCTTAATAAACGCATCGTATATGGTATCCGCAAGAAATATTCGACCAGCAGCGATGCAGTTTTCCCCCTTAACTTATTAACCTTTTAAAGTTAAGACTCGACATACAAAAACTGTAAGAAAAAACAGAAATTACGATACCAACATTGCTGAAGTTAATCTCTAATTTTACCTTGTTGAAGTAAACAGCATTACATGTTTGCCTAACTGCTCGATCTATATCTGCATCATCAAAGATGATCAGTGGCGATTTTCCACCAAGCTCGAGAGCAACTTTTTTAATATTCGAACAAGCGCAGCTAAAATCAAAAAAAGTGCACACTAGCTGCTTTTATTTGAACAGAAACAAGAAGTATTAAAACCTAGTATGCACGTTATCTATGCGTCTTATTTGCAAAAAATTAAGCTCATAATTAATTATAAATTAAAAATACCTAGAAATACACAAGCCTAATAAACAATCAATTAAATAAATATTATTCTAAATATATTTATATCAAAAAGTTAAGAAAAAAAACGCTCTGTTAAGTACAAGTTAATTTTAAGAGCTTCATAAGAAGTTTATATTAAAAAATTATTTCACTTTAAAAAAAAGAGCATATTTCAAATTAATACAGACCTACTCATAATTTGAGCACCAACTTCCGTTGAACCAGTAAACCCAATTTTTCTAACTACTGGATGATCACATAAGGCTTGACCAATTTCTGAACCCGAACCTGTTATAACGTTAATTACACCTGGTGGAATTCCAGCTTTTGCTGAGAGCTCAGCAAACTTTAAAGCTGTTAAAGGAGTTACCTGAAAGCACAGCAATGAAAAACTCAATGAATTTTTCAAGAGTTTTTTAATAATATAGTTTCTGCAAAAGCAAGACATACTTGTGCCGGCTTTATCACCACTGTATTACCAGCTGCTAAACAAGCCGACATTTTCCATGACAACATCATCAGCGGATAGTTCCATGGAATGATCAAACCGCACACTCCAATAGCTTCTTTAACAGTAAGGCATAGGTTGTAGTTCGGCCGCGCATTGGATATCGGAATCGTGTTACCCTGCATTATTTATCCTTGAGCACTATGTCTAATTTTAATCCCAAAAATACAAAAATTTTTTAATGTTTCTAAAACATCAAAAAATAGAATAAAAAACCTCAATTTTATCTGCCCAACCAGCAAAATATCTCCAAACATCAATGCTCATACCGACATGAGTTTTCAACGCTAAAGTATAGACAGCACCACTGTCTAAAGCTTCTAGTGTCGCCAATTCCTCTACAAATTTGAAGTGTATGATTACTTACAGTTTTAGCAAAAAAAATTTGCTGAATAATTGTCAAAAAAATAAAATCTGACATTGTATAAATGGTTAAAGTTTTTCACAGTTCAAACGAATGAAATACCTGCGTGTTCCTCCATAAGATCAGCTAGTTTGTACAAAAGTTTACCACGTTCTCGAGCTGAAATTTTACTCCACTCACCTTCCTCAAACGCTTTTTGAGCTGCTATTACGGCATCATCAACATCTTTTTTGTCAGCCTTCAATATCAATATATTAAATAAATAATTTTATTTCCACAGAAAAATAAGCGAAAAAAATCTTGATAACTATTATAATTTCCTTTTTTACCGTTGTATGCGAAACTTATCTATTTTAAACTATCTCACCAGCATAACATCCCATTGTTTTTACGTAAAGGTAAATCAAATTACTTTAGGTATCTTGCAAATTGACTTCTCTGTAGTTGGATTTATTGTATCATACAGCCTTCCGGAACGACTGTCTACAAATTTCCCATTGATATACATTTGATGTGGGAAACAAAGCTCTATTCCATTGACAGAAACCACAACCTAGATGACCACTAATAAGCGTTTTGTCAGTAACTTGTATCTAATTTCCACTTGTAGTTTGAAAACACAAACACTTATTTTTATTTAGTAAACGATAAACGCTTTTACCTTGTCGTACTTAACTTCAACGGTACCAACGCCTCGTAACTTGTTGACAACAGCATTAACATACAGCCGAAATGACGAAGACATATACACCTATAGTAAATGATTTTTATGAACAGTATAAAAATTATAAAGTTAATGGAGTTACAAATGCACTAATAGTTGACTACCTGTGCATTATCCAGTAATGCAGTTGTCCTAAAACGAGTGTCTTCAATAAGCCGAGTAACATCCTGACTTGTGCCACCATTAGCAAAGAAATCTGTTCCATCTTCAATTTCGATGCCAAGTATTTCTAAATATTAGGCGAAATGATAAACCTGTACTCCTCGTAATTTGAAGTTGCAGAAGCAAGACTGATTGAGAAGTTGTTGATTGTAAGTATGCAGTTAAAATTTGGATTTATCATTTAAACCAGTAGCATTTATAATCGAAATATTAAAATTAAGTGGTTGAAATGTAGAAACTCTCATAAATCTAAAATTTTGCATTGCAAAAGTTTTGAAAAAAATAAATAAGATAAAATAAAGCTCTAAAAACAATGCCAGTAGCTTTAGAAAATGACTGGAGGCATAACTCTGAACCTTTCCAAATATCTCTGAGATTACTTTCGATTTTCTTTTCAGCTGCACTCAACTCCAGTACTTCTTCTTCTTCCTCCTCACAACCAAACTTTTCAGCAGCAATTGTTCGTCCATTTGGCAACTTTATAGTTTTGACCAGTACCTACAATTTTTGTGTTTTGCTCTACCGGTCATTCACGGCTGGAAATCAGTGGAAGAGAGTGCGCTAAACAGTAGGCAAAATTTGTCGTCAGCATTATTTTAACCACAGCTTACAAATTTTCGATCACTTGCTGGCAGCAGTAAACCATCAGAGATAACAAAAATTTTGCCACCGGTAGCGTCTTTTACTTCAATTTCCCGAGCATTAGACGGTGCTTTTGACATAGTGTATCGCGATGAAGAGAACAAACAAATTTTTTCATCATTCACCATAATCCACGCTCCCGGAACCTAAATTTAGCATAAAATCGATTAACTATTAATCATTTATAAAGCAGATAATATGTAGTAGCTACAGTAGTAAATGCTTATTCGTACAATGATAGTGTTTTTTAATATTACTAGCAGGAAAAAGAGCAGAGGTTGAGAAATTCTTCTTTTGTTTATAACGGATATTTCGTAAAACTGACTGTCATTCCTATGCAAAAACTTAAGCTACCAGAACAACGTCGTAGCACATTGTGTGTAAGTAAATAATTATTTGCAAGAAAATAACGTTGTCTGAATCACGCATTTATTACAGTACTTATAAATTAACGAGTAAAATAAACTGCAACAAACTTTATCGTTTCCACGAATAAAATTGTGCATTTCCCATTGGGATTTATTCCAATCCAACTTGGCTAAGTCGGGCTTTGCAGCAATATGTGGATCATAACTGGCTCCTTCTTCTGACTGAATTATTCTAGGAGCTTTATTGGCAGCTATCAGACTGACAGCTTCTACCTAACAACAAGAAAAAAACAAAATTGTAAAATTTATCATTGTCTCAAAGTTGTCCAACAAAAAGATCAAGTTTTTTTAAAGCTGTATATGGTTTTGACATGTTAAAGAAGATATAATTCAGAAGCAACAAACTGGCAAACCAGAAGAAAAAAGATTTTGAAGCATAGTTGATTACCATTCCTTTAATACCCTCTGGATACAAGAATCGGTCATAAAGTGTCGTTTGCGTGTCGTTTTCCTCAACTTGACAAGATTTTTGCAAAAGAATTGGTCCAGTATCGAGACCATCGTCTGCCCAAAATACAGAAAAACCGGCTAATTTATCGCCACAAATCAATGTCCAATTAATAGCCGATGCACCGCTAACATAAAAGAATCAATTTATACACAGAAGACAAATTAATACATCGAAAAAGCAGTAAGATTGGAGAATTAAATGGTCGGTTGACCGATATGTACAAATTATAACATATCAACAATTAGGGCATTTTTATATAAACCAATAAGCAGATTTTGGTTTACCGATGAGCAGGAAGCAGCGATGGATGATAGATGATTGATTTGTAAACCGGAAATTCAATTACTTCATGTGGAATAAACTGTGTACAGAACGGTAGAACATTTAATTCAACTTTAAATTTTGAATATTCTTCAAAAACTTTTGGTATTATATGAAATTTTCCAGCCGCATCTTTTTGTCGCCATTTCAGTTGTTTAATCACTGGGATACCAAATTTTTTTGCTTCTAATGCTAAAATGTATTAAATTTAAAAATACTTAACAAACACTGAACAGATAATCATTGTCATGGTAAATTAATCTAGCGTAGAAAAAAACTTGAGGTTTGCAAGTTTAGTTACCGAACAGTTTAGTGCATATAGACATACAAATTACTTAAGATTAGTGTTATTCAACAATCGTGAAAAATTATTTCATTTTCTACCAAAATTTGTAACACTTTTTCTTCCTTATGCACTTACTAACCTAAGATATCTTCACGACCGTTTCTGTCAGGCACCGTAAACACGACAGCAATCGTATAGCCTTTATCAAGCAATGCTTTCAGTACTTCAGCACCAAAAAGCGATTGTCCGATAATTGCAATTCGCATTTTCAGCTAAACATAATATTAGTCCAATCTTATACAGTAAGCAGTATTTATTAAATAAAAAATTTCAAAGTTTACTGACATCAGTACAGTTAATTTGAAAAACAAAAACAGCAGGAAAAAAGTACAGTACTTTATTAAACGTTAAAAAAATTTCGCAATTTTTCCTTTTCACAGATTAGAGTAAATGAGTTAAAGTTCACAGATTATTAATTTTGCGATTGAACATTTGTTGGGTAAAACAGTACCTGTAGCAAACAAATAGAAATGTTGTATAAGAAAAGTACTAATCGACAAAAAAAAAGTTGTTTAAAAGAATGATCATTTTTAAAGCACTTAGTAACCGGTTTTTTTTTGTCTTGCCCAAATAAACTGTAAATGATAGATCATACATTCAGGTCATCTAACAACAAATTGCTTCTTAAAACTAAGACTGTTATTTAGGTGAAATATTTTGAGAATAGATGTAGTCAATACCAAAGGTTGATCACCTTAGCAGAAGCTCTCTTACTTCTTTTTACCTTATTAGTAAACTGGGAGCAGTTTTAATGTTCCATCAGCAGCAGCAAAACAAAAAAAAATTGTTAAATCATAAACTATAGAACTGTTATTGTCAACTATTTAATGAACAATTTAAAATGACACAAGTTGTTGAATACTTATCGATCAAAATGTTATTTACGTTTAAGTGTTTTGTCTTTCTCTATGTATCTGCGAATCAAACTATTATTCGCAACAAACGAATAAATAGTTGTTTTAATTAGTTACTAACGTTTTGATAATCTGTGGTAATTTGTAATTTTGTCTTCACTAATCATTTATTCCACATTTTCTTTTCACTAAAATAATGCTTGTATAAAATGAATTACAAGAAAAATGCAAGTGGAATTTTTAAACCAAAAAACTTATAGTCTCTCAGCTGTTTAATATCTGTATAGTTTGTTCAGAAAAAAAGTATATTTATTTTCAAAAAAATGCAAAAACTGCATGAAAAATTTAAATAATTGAGAAGAATTTTGATTTTTTTTTATAAACCACTCACGATGACTACTTATTAAATTAATATATTTCTGTCATAGAGTTTTTCGCATTTTAATTATTTTAATCTTTGGTTCAAAAAAATTGCATCAAAAAATGTGACGAAACAAAAATGACAATTTTTTATAGAATTATAAACAAAGAATGATGAATAAAGTAATAAAAAAAATTTTATATTCTTCTTCTTTCATTTTTTCTAGTTTTATTCTGAAGACTCTCGATTAGATCTCAATTACAAAAAACTTCATTTAAATTGAAAAAAAAAAAAAACAGGAGGAGGCGGAGAAAAAGAGGGTGGACAGAAAAGAGAAGGAGGTGGAGAAAGAGAGTAAAAAAGTTTTTTTTATTTTTTAAAGATAAATGTTAAAGTCAGCTGTAAAGATTACTCATTTGATGGGTTGTCTGTTCTTGAATAGCAACTTTATATAGCTGGTTTAGAAAAGGAGGTTATGCCTGTCGTTCCTTCAATTGAATCAATTTGTTATTCTTCATCTTTTCCCCTTTTTGTTTTTATTTTTTTAGTCAAAGAACTGTTAGACTGACGACAGTAAAAAATAGTAATGAATGCGATAACTGTTGGCTGTAAAGTAGCGGTAATGCTGTATCACTGATTTGTTCTGGTTCACTTATTTAAGTGCTAAAAGTAAAAAAATTTTGGTTTTAATGAAGCTTAGTTTTAATTAACGTATCGTAGCTAAATGAAAGATTGATTCTGGTTGTTCTATCGCACCCGAGGCCAATTCACTCGTTTACTTTCCTCTCAGAGGGCTCCAGCGTTTAATAACTGCAAAAATTTTCGTTGGATGTTAGAACAGTCTAAAATGGTGATGGCAATCACCGTTATTAATGCTTCTGTCAGTACAGCAATAAAAAATTTTATTTTCTAGTTTTGAGAAAAATTTGAAGCTGCTTGGTCTTAAAGTAACCATTGCTTTGTTCTGAAGAACAGTCAAGGTAGTCCTTATTGATTGTTTATTAAAAAAATGAAAGTAACATAGTAAAATTTGTCACTGCCGCTTGTTTCGTTCAACAAGCATTTCTTTCTG